CACAATTGAATTGTTTCGTTCAATTGTTTCACAGTTTTGTTTTATTTTAGAATCATCTTTCACAATATCGTAACTGACAATTTTTTACAAAAATGAAAAGAATTAAAAATATTAAAAGTAATTTTACTGAAAACGACAGACTGATACATGAAGGATACATATTCATTTCTTTCTATATTTAATTAATCGATCGATTTTCATTTTTTTATCAGTCCTCGAGACTGCACATGTGTTAAAACAAATATCAGTTTATTGTTGATGCATTTAATGCGAGGCCTTTATAGGTAGATTTTAATTTCCCTTTGATGTTTTTTTATATATGGTTATTATAAATAAATGTTATACGAAGTGTTTCAAAACTCGACTACATTCAGATTTTATTGAAAGTAAAATCTGTTGTAAATTTAAATATTAGTACGAATATATTTGTTGTTTGTTTGAACAACTCGTTTGAATTTAATTATTCAAAATATCTAACTACTGTGTTATTGAAACACTTTGTACCGTTAATTTTATTACAATTGTAAACTATGTATTAACAAGGTGAAATCAATGCCTTAAATAAGATACAAACTTTGTGAAAACAAATATGCTTCTGCTATTGTAAGATTTGTTTTTTACCGTGATAAAATATTACATATTATATATAAAGTGAATTGTTAAAACTGCTCCCAAATATTTCTTACTTTTCTTTTTATAAAATACACACGTACTACATAGGCTCTGGTCATTTTGTATGAAATACAAGTAAACGCTCAATTTTCTTTTTTAAAGTAAAGTTACGTAAACAAGTCTCACAGATTTTATGACATTTTCGCAAAAAATATAAAAGAAATTACCTCTGAGGAGTTGAACAAGAAAATATACTGTGTGTTTTATTTTCGATTCAATTCAAATTTTTTGTTATCGAGAAATCTGTCAAGTTCGAGGAAAGGGCAAAAGGTATTGAGGAAAATTAAGATTTTTTACTATTGTGTGTCTTTCAAATTTTAACAGCATTGAAATCGCGCGAGAAGATGTATCGATTAATCGTGGAGAACGGACGCCACAATTATCGATTGTGATTTAACCAGTGTTCGCCAGATGACACAAGTGCTTTTTCAGGCGTGTCGAAACGCTGTTCGCGCTTGCGTCCGTATGTCTTCATCGCGTTTCGTCTTTGTCGTGGTCACGGTTGGGCGATAGGGAGCGTGCAACAGTAGAATAGGACTTATTGAGTAACGTATCATAGAAAGTGAGCGAAAGTGATAGAGAGTGCCATGATAAAATAGTATCGTGCGGACAGTCGAATCTTGTAGCTGAAAGTTGGATAAGAGTGGGTCGGTTCACAAGGAAGGTGTCGGAAGAAGTGGATCGTGATTGGTGAATCTTAGACGGCCATAATTGTGCGCCATTCGGTCTCCGGTGCAGATCCGCGCAGCGAAAGGGCAGATGCCCTTACGCGGTTCGTGCTCCCATTGGTGGGTACGCGCTGATCTACCCGGATCGACATACTCCGTGAGATCCGGTAGTGTTATCGGTAGCTTATTTCCGAGTTGGAGGAATTCGCAAACCGCAAGGACAAGCGGCCAGCCGCCGGCACCTCCGTTGGGAGACGACGAGTCGTTTACTCGTACGAGCCACCAACTCGGTAGTGGTGAATGTGATATCCGTGGTCTAGCAGCAACAGTGGCATTCACAGCGCCGTCAACAACACGACGACGACCACGACAACGACGACGACAACGACAACGACGACAGTAGCGCCATCATCAGCGCGACCGCCATCGCAGCAGCGAGAAGAAACAGTGTATTCCCTTCGAGGAGAGAAAGAAGAAATGCTTGTAGGTTCGCGATCGGTGACGCGAGCAAAGATGGAGGCCCCGTCCAGTTTTTAACACGACAGCCAGGTCTCGTTTAGAAGCGCACCAACGGAGCCACGGAGAGCGCTCCTCGAGTCGGCTGCCCAAAAGTCGCGTTTCGCCCCGTGCTACTTTTCTTCGTGAGCCCCGCGAGGCTGGAGGATGGAGCTACGTGTTGGAAATAAGTACCGGCTCGGACGGAAAATCGGGAGCGGCTCCTTCGGCGACATTTATCTAGGTAAATTCTCTTCTGCCTTCGACGCATTTGCCTTTTACTCGCATCTCTCCCCCACTTCCCCCATTATCCACCCGTCTACCCACACGACAGTTACATATTTGCCCTACGACACGCATGAACGCGCCAACTCCCCCGTGCACCTACACACGTTTCTTCTTTCATCTTTCTCTCTCTCTCTCTCTCTCTCTCTCTCTCT